GATCTGAGTCTTGGGGTTGAGAAGCATGCTGCGCCTTAACTACATGGCCATGGCAAGATGCCAAACAAACTTAGGACGCGGCCCTATACACTACTTCACTGCGCTGAAGTTACTCCCAATGACTGTGTAGCACGTGGGTAGACATCAACATCGCGGTCGTTTCCACGCGGCCAAATAAGAAGATTTCAGCAATGTTTAGGAACACTAATTGAGCTTCCAAAACTATGCCTGTGACTAAGGTTTATTACTAAGTTGACACACGTCCAAACCAAAACCCACTTCTTTTGACTGTCCATGTTTCCGTTTTCCCATGCAGTTATACATATTTTACATTACCTGCATAACTCCACTTTTTACGACCCGCGGAAGTCCAAGTACCCTCCAAGCACCTCTCGCCAAGATGCTGGGTCAGGGCCTGGGCAGTCTTGCTTTCTGGGCCAAAAACTGGATAGTGTCTAACACTCATATTGGAGTTTGCCCATGCGTCTTGCTCATTTTGGTGGAAACAGATGTATGGTCCGTCTCATATTCTGCAAACATCAAGAAATTTCCTCCACAAAATGTATACATATGTATGTCTACATTGCAGTATACTAGGAACGTGAAGGAAGCTACCATACTCATCTGAGAGCTATCAGGAAACGGGTATCCCCCCAAATTGCCTCCAACATCTTCAAAAGCGACTTGCGAAAGTCTCTCTTCTGTACCAGGCATCATCAAGCAACAAACTGGTCTGGGAGCCCGTGTTAAAATCGCATCTTCAGCTACGAGTAGATTCGTCAGAGGACTGACACCTTTCTAGAAGTGCTACACGTTCATCGAAGTACAATTTGATCAGCAACAACTTCTTGTTCTGTAGGAGTTGCTAGCAACTCTTAGCATGCTTTACTTGCTGATTCCGTAAGTTTTGCAAGCTATCTGCGCAGGCAATCTAAAGCTCAAACTCTCATGTCTCAAGCAGTGCTAGGCTGAGCTGATAAGCCCAATCGCCTCAGAAATATACGTGACAACCCTCAGTGCTTTTCCCTGAGGTCGCCTCATGCACTGTGTGCCCAATTGTCGAAGGTATTCACCACGACTTTTGCTGCACCATGCTCAGGCACTTGCTCTGGCCATGCTGAACACCCATACCACACCCAGAACAAAAAGCCTTTGAGATCCCACATCTTATGCCTACCTTAAGGGTTTAGGGTTTAGGGTTTAGGGTACATCTTATGTTTGTTGAAACTACTATATTGTATTAAGGTTATATTGGGATAATGGAAAATAAAATGGAAACTACTATTTAGGATTAGGTACCAAGATGGACCCCATTGAGTTTGGGTCCTCAACCCTACCTTAACTCCACTTCAGCTCCAGGGGCATTTCATCTCAATCTCGCATTGCTCGCCCATCCAGCCCGGATGGCATTTGCAGCTACCTGCTTGATATCTCACAAATGAAGACCCCGTAGTCTTTATCAGTATCGTCCCTACATAACTTATATAGCACCTGTATAGTTCTAATATCAACTCTTGATATTACACTCCACGGGTGATGGCTGAAGAACTGGCTTCCCCGAAGCTTCTCGATGCATTGCTATCCAAGTTCGGCACATGGGGTATACAAAGGTATGGGGCGGGGCTCTCTTGGAGTTATAGAGTTGTATATATGCAAGGTTTATATCATGTAATATAGTGGTATTATGAGGTTTGGGTGTAGGGGTATGTGAGACGTACAGTTCAAAGTTTTTGGCATATTGGGAGAGTTGTGCGCAGTGAAAAGAGAGCAGTAAACGGGCACGCATGTGGTTTCTGCTGCTGATTCGGGCCGCGGCCCGCATCTCTAGCTTTGTAATTGAACAGCTTCAAAAATTGGAAACCCAAGACTGATCAGAACTGTGCTGAAACGGGGGAGTTTCCAAGACTTAGGTGTCCACCACATGTCTCACTGAGTTTCAATATGAAAAAGCTGTCGTCCGAACTAGCTTTCCCGAACGTCGATGGAAAGTGCACTGAAATCAGAGTGACCAAACGTACCAGACGGGTGCAATGTATTCTATGTAGCAATGAACAAGTTGGACAATAATTTGCTAAGCAACCCATTGCTTGTGACAACGTGCCCCTGTCAAATTGGTGGTTGATTTTGCTGCCTTCTTCTTGTGACCAAGATTTCCGCAGTGAGGTGCTACCTGTGTCTGCACCACCATTCCCAAAGTTGCTGCTGCTAATGTACTGAGTCCCCCTTAAGTAGATCGAATATAAGGTATATGGGGATCTTTCTATAATATACCTATTCTATCTACCTAAGGGGACTGTACTGCTACTACAACTGATGCCGTTGAAGCCAGTAGAATGGTCTGATGTTGCAGACATCTCTGCTTCTGCTACTAGCGTTACAATGCGCAGCTGCTGTCAGAGGGGTTGAGGGTTCAGCTGGCGCCCCGACCTGGCATCGGGCAATCTCCGTGTCCGTTGCAGCACATTGGCAGAGAGCAGTCTACGCCGCCCCACCCGAAGAAGCAAACGCACTGACCTTCCAGGGCTGCTGCTGAGAAAATGGAAGCTACAGGGATTATCGGGGTTATATGGGGGCTATGTAAGGATTATGGGTTTAATATCGGGCTTATATAGGAATAATCGGAAACCAGGGCCCGCTGTTTGCATGGCTGGCTTGCGGTGGCGCTGGTGGGTTTGGGTGCTGGTGCTGGTGGCCTAAGGAATCAGGGAATATAGGGCTAATATAGGGGGTTATTTAGGGATTGCATAGGGATTGTATAGGGGTAATGATGCTGGCGGTGCTAGAGCTGCTGTGCTCCTGGTGTTCTGCTGCTGCTGCTGATGATGATGATGACGGCCGCAGTCCGTTGGCGTTACTTATTGCCCTATAATAGTTTCCATGTTCTTTTCCATTACCCCAATAGTACCCCAACATGTAGTTTCAATTTTTCTTTCTATTATCCTAATATATACCCTAATATAGTAGTCTCCCTTTCCTTTTCCATTATCCCTAAACATACCCTATACTACCCCCACTCACCCATCCTGGCAAGTTGACAGAGTCAGTCTCTTCTCGGGTACGGATCTCCCATGACAAGCTAAAATGCGCAGTGTTTCAAGCCTTCGCGCAGTTCACGGCGTACCCTAAACCCTAAACCCTAAACCCTAAACCCCAAAACCCTAAAACCCCAAAACCCCAAAACCCTACACTCTAAACCCTAAACCACATTATGTTCAAAGCGAGGCCGTAGGCCATGAATCAGATCAGACAAATTGCAGGAGGTTTAGGGTTTAGGGTTTAGAGTTTAGGGTTTAGAGTTTAGGGTTGAGATGGATAATCCTAGATTCTTTGCTCTGCATTGACGGGTTGACAGGCTACAGCCAGAATTCCACTTGCCGCTTCTTCTGCTCCCTTGCTGCTGAATATACCCTGGGCACTGACCCCTTGCAAGACTACTCCACACTGTGTGATGTAATCTTTCGGGGAGTCTTTTGCATTACCGTGTACTGCAGACCTCAAGCAGGCGGACGGATGGTAACTACAGGGATTACATAGGGATTATAGGGTTTACATTGGGCTTATATAGGGATAATGGAAAAGAACATGGAAACTACCCCTTAGGGTTTAGGACCCGAACCAGCAAAAGAGCGGACACTGGCGGCCGCACCCGGCGCCTATAACTGTACTGATTATAGTACGGATAGTGGAAAAATGGAAACCACCATTTAGGGCCTTAGAGTTCAGGGATCATGGGAAAATGGAAACTACAGGGATTATAGGAATTATATAGGGGTTAGATAGGGATTGTAGGTTTTACATTGGGCTTATATGCGGATAATGGAAAAGAACATGGAAACTCCTATTATATAGGGGTAATATAGGGTATGTATAGGGATAAAGGAAAAGAGCCTCGAAACTACTATATTGGGTGTATATTGGCGTAATATTGGGGTAATGGAAAAGAAAATGGAAACTATTATATTACAATAGGGAAACACACATCGACCAATACTTGCCGTTATTCTGAAAGCGAGCCTCCCGTGCATGTGCCTTGACCGTTGCAGGAACCTTTGCTTGCTGAACCCTTGGAAATTCAAGATTTGGGCTTGTGGACTCTGCACGGATGGCTTTAGGACTTAGAGCGCTTGTAGGTTCTGACCTCAGTGCCAGGGCTGGGTGACAACAAGAGCCAAAAGGAGCCATGTAACATACAAAGACGCTAGGATCTGATCTGAACTCTTGCACTTTGTGGGTCAGGGGCCCTGCGCAGCCTGAATGACAAGAATAGGGTTCAGGTGTCAAGAACATCAAGAGTATGGGTATTTTACGAAGCCAAAGCAGAAGTATACATACTGTCAAAAAAACTCAAGGCTCCAAAGCTTAATTCAAGGCTTCAGGGTGCTCAATATCGAGCGGCTTAAGCGCATCCTGCTCGTGCAAAACCTTCCACGCTTCAGTCTTTCAACCACCTTCCTCCCCCCCCCGCCCCCCTACAAACGCAGCGACTGAGACACACCAGTCCTTGGCAGAGATGAAGGATTTTTCTCAAAAACACTGCCCTCACAAAGTAATCCCAGAAATGAAGTTGGTTGTAAGGATCCCAAGCAAGGAGTCAAACTTCTGACCACCTGCGAGTAAAAAAGGAGCAGCGTACAGCCAAGAACACTTCCTCTGTGATGACCCAAGGTTAGGAGTGCCATATGGGAGGGTCGGCAAGAAAGGGCCCTCAACGGGCATGGGATGACTACTTGACGGCAAGAAAGGCGGACACGCCACTGTTGCAAATTTCCTCATGAATTCAGCAAACAGAAAGCTTCAACAATGCTATGTTTGCAAGGCTCTTCCACCATGCAAGTGTTTCGCAGGGCATCTGACTATCCCAGTTTCCATTTCATTTTCCATGTTCTTTTCCATTTGATTCTCCATTATAGTAGTTTCCATTTCATTTTCCATTAATCCCAATATAATCCCAATATACAGATCATTCAACTGGATGCTGAAACTCCGCCATGCCGGGAGACTGGGGCAGTGGTGTTCGCACGCAAGGCCCGTGTAGTTCGCGATGCAGGTGCATGTGCCATCCAGCTCACACCTGTTTGCAGGAACCGTAGGTGCAGATGTATCCTGTCCTAGCCCAGCAGTTTAAGATCCAGAGCTTCAGACAAAAGGGCGGATTCAAGATGCTGAGGGGTGAGGTCTTGAGGCTGGAGTACGCATGTCTTGGACTCTACGGCTTCTAGGGTGCGTAGTGTAGTGAGTGATCTCTGGCCAGTACACCATCTGTGTATACTACCACCCAAACACGAACGGCATGCAGATGCAGAAACTGCATCCCGCCACATGAGCCTAGCAATGCAACCCGAGAAAAACCGGTTCTCAGTAACCACGCGGCAGAAGCAAACTGAATTGTCTCAGGCCGAAAAGGGGGACTGCACTGAAGCTCGTTCAAGACTGTTCCGCGCAGCTATGAAAAGACATGTAATCCCCGGCCCCTCCCCTAAGAAAAACACCCCCCGCATCCCCCGCACCCTCCAATACATACATAGTATAGGAGGGGGAGGGGAACAATCCCTGATCTGCTTCTCCTTCCGCCCTGGAACTAAGCTTGAGGGGCCTGCCACGCTGGTTGCAGTCCTGGCAGACCGACACCACTACTTTCCGCATTCTTGAGTTTTTAGGATTCGGTGCTTTCGGCCCTTGGGTTGCAGCTATGATTCGTTGCGTGTGTGAACTCATGGTAGCCATGCTCGAACGTTAGCAGCTCAACCCCTACCTTGCGAGTCAGCGTCAGAAACCCTCTCGCTGTAACAAAAACATCCGTACACCGCAGCCCAGACCTGCAATTCCCAAGAAGAGCATGTAAGTCAGATCGAAGAGACTCAGTGCGATCGGATTTCAAGATCTGAGGCCGCGCTAATTCAAATGGCAGTTGAATAACATGCCTGCTCACACGATGAAGAAGCTCTAAGGGATTTGGAACCGCAGTAGAACTTATAATTTCAGCTAAATATTAGGATTGTTGGCAACAGAAGTTAACAAATATTTGCAGGAACCTTGTAGGAAGGTCGAGAAATGCTTTCCAAACCCTGTGCACCGTCACATCGAACCCACTGCAGAAACAAGGCTCCTCTGGGCAGCTGGGCGGAGCAATGCTGCGGACCTGCTCCCAACAGGCTCTCACATCTTCTGATAGCATTGATGTGGTATTTTCCCATATATCAGGGGACCCCAATATAGACCCCAAAATACTATAGCCCTAAATCCTAAACCCTAAATCCTATTGGGACCCCTGTAATGGTACCCCTACTTTTGGGAAACCCCCATGTGTCAGGAGTGGCCCAAGAAGGAGAAGCTTTTCATATGAACCATAGTCTAAACTCCTTAAAGGGGGTTATATAAGGGATTATATATAGTTTATATTAGGGGTTATATAGGGATAATGGAAAATCAAATGGAAACTACTATATATTGGGGTTATGTAGGGGATTATATAGGTTTCTACTATAGGGGCTAGTAAGGGGGATACTAGGAGTTTAGACTATGGCTCATATGGGAAGTGAAGTCACAGCTCCTCTTTTGCACCAAGGATGCTGTTTGCACTACTGGGCTGGTCAAAAGAGGAGCAACATGGAGTGTGGAGGGTGTAGGCACTGGCTGCTCGAATGCTTGAGATGAAACTCTTCACCGGAGGCCCAGGCTCACCATGCAAAGCTCTGCGAATTGCTACAAGACTAGATTCCGAACGAAGGGTGCCACCAGTTGGCAACCGCCACAACTCGCAAGGTTGTGCAACGATCTGTCAGAGTGACGGTGGTTCTTTGAACTGCTTCGGCTAAGCTTGTGCAAGGACTGGAGAAACTGTGGGCCGCTGTGGCGTTCCAGGGATGTCCGGCAGGGCCTTCAGAGCGATCAACTTCCTGCTGTTGGACCGTCTGACGCTGAACATGCTGAGCGCTTAGCCGATGTCAACGGATATCTATGGGGATCATTTCAAAAATCCCTAACTATCAGGGTACCACCGTGCCACTACCCAGCGCCTGGGAAATCAGAGGCCTTATTGTACCTAAACTATGCCTACCTATCCTTCACACATCCCAGAACCCGTAAACAGTAAACCCCTAAATAACACCTATAATCTCTAATGTTGCCATCTTCTTTTCCATTATTATCCCCATATAACCCAAATATATATACCCTATAACCCCGATTCTGTCTAACCTCTTATAGCCTGTCTATAATGCTTACATAGCCCCTATCACCCCTGCGGAATCCACAGGCCTTCTCCCCGAACGTGGCCAGGCGCTGCGCTGCCTTCTCCCAAGATGACTGAACTACATGGTGAACTGCTTAGCTATTCATGGTCTAGGTAAATATATTACACAACACAACTGCTATGTAGAATTGGGACAAAAGACTACAGGAGATTATCTGGTTCTAAGTTGGGCTCCTCCCTATCTGATGCTTAGCTGGGAGCGGGGGAATGGATCCCAGTAGTAGTCCCTATTCTTATGATTCCCAGTAGGACCGTCACAAACGTCCCCATGACCCATTCCCGCAGTACCAGCTAAGCATGAGTAAGTGCGGGTGGGATGCCACTCTGGGAGGTCACTACTACAGCAAAACAGTACAGCAGACTCGCTCATGTGATTATGGGCAAAAGTTCCATGTCTGAATGCTTCTTTTTCAAAGTGACGTCGCACTTGCAATTCATCCAAGCACCCGGATGGCTCATCATCAACTGTAGGCCAGCACTACTTGCCACTGGTACAACGGCGCTTCCTGTCAGCCCCTCCCTATGCATGGGCAAGGGGCAGCACCCCGACAACATTGAAGCCCCGTTGAACTGAGCCAAGTGCATGAAACTGTGCAACATAGTGCAACCCCTTGTTGAGGAGTTGTAGCCGAAGCCTGAAGCTCTTCAATTTGGAAAATAACAAACTGCATGTGCACCTCAACACTACATCCCAAGCCAATCTCAGCATCTATATCCCTAGTTTCCATTTCATGCCCCATTTGATTCTCCATCATTGGGCCAAACTAATTTTGCCTAAATAACCAACCCAACACAATTATATATATGTATGTATATGTAAATATACGTAGATAGGTGCCGTTTCATTGTCAATCTGATGTTCTATGAGATCCTCCCTTCTTGGGGTAATAGCATCCCTACATATCCCGATATAACCCCTACCTATAGTTTTCCCTTGTCTTTTCCATGTGCTTTTCCATTATTGGGGTGTAATGTCCCTACACCCTAAACCCATAAACTGTAGTAGTTCATTTGATTCTCCATTTGACCTAAACCCTGAAACCGAGACCCTAAACCCTTAACCCTCTGCCTCCTCGCTGGGGGCTTGGGTAGCAACAGCTGGTGCAACAGGCTGAGGCTCCTGCTGATTCACAGGTGTAGGGGCTTGGGGTTTACGGTTTGGGGCTGTAGGGTTTAGGGTTCGGGGCTTTGGGCTTAGGGCTCGGGGCTTTAGGTTAAGCGTTTGGGGCTTAGGGTTTAGGGTTCAGAGCTCTTTGTCTATTTGAAGCCTTCACAAAATCAGCACTCAAACGTAGGGACCGACATAATTACCAACCTTATGGTCCTAGGCTCCTTCAAGAATCGTGGTTTAGGGAACCTCAGCCTCAACATGATCTTCCCCATTCTTCAGGCCATTGTAGACTATCCTCAATAAGGAGCCCAGAGTCTCCTTACAGCTTCGACGCACCCCCGAAGGTCCCTAAGAAACCCCTTCCACTATGGGCTATTAGACCTCTAGGGTACCTTTATCTACCCTTAATAGGGTCCTAATAGGGAATTTTGGGGTCTAATAGCCCATGGTGGTTTGAAAGAAACCACCATTCGGGGGTGTCAGCCAGTAGCCTCTGTGTCTTGAGCATGAATCGTAAGTCATCCCCTTGTAGTTGCCATTTGAGCTATAGTCTAAACTCCTTAAAGGGGGTTATATAGGGGATTATATAGGGGACTACTATGGGGGATATTAAGGGGGATACTAGGAGTTTAGACTATAGCTCATTTCATGTTCCAGTTGATTTTCCTGAAGGGGGAATGCTCTAGGCTTGAAGGTGTGCACCCCGGTTTGGGATTTATAGTTGAAGGGGAACCCGTTTGCTTACAAGCTCAAAGATTCCAGAGAAATGGCATGCTCAACCCTTAATTAGCGCATGTCATGTGATGGGCCCCACCGCCCAGGTGGCAACATGGTCGGACGGTTGCTGGCAGGAGAAGGTCTTGCTCTGGGCACAGAATAGTGCATGCCTGTACTGACCTGCTAACGGGACAATCTTACATTGACCAACTCCTACAACTTCCTGCTACAGTTCTGTCATTAGTAGTCCGGGCATCCGAGACACCGACCAGGTAGATTCCTAGCATCTGTTTCCCTCAACTTATGAGTATGAAGAGAACTTCCACCGTTCATAATTAAGGGCCTCATATTCGTCGCAAGCTGCGCCCTTGAAGCCGGCGTTGCCTCGGCTATGCAAGGTTCGTCAAAACGTATTGCGGCCCAGGCTTCAAACCCTACATCCAGCAGCCTCTGACTAGCCGAGGAGCACAACAGGTGTGTGCATAATATAGTCATGCGCTTGCTGGCCCTCCCTCCCCATGTAAGCATATACCTGGCTGCCTTGACCGGCTTAGAGGATTGACTGACACTTGTCCCAGCTTCAGCAAAATCACACCCCGGCGCACCCACAAAACAGGATGGGAGCTCGGACAGCAAGACTGAGACGTCGGCAAACGCAGTTGCCACTGTCACAGTAGCCGTGGCCATTGCAATCGTTTTTGCAGCGCGGGTATTCGCCTTGCAGCAGCCCACCCCTCTTACCCACCTTGTTAGTAACTTGCTTTAAGCTTGGTACCTGGTGCCTTCCAGATGTTGTCCCACACTATTGTCGCTGGAAGTGCATGGCTCCATCAGATTGGGCCCCATATGCTCTGCCTAACTGAAGGTTGTTCATCCAAATCCCGATGATGCAGCCCACCAATGTCCGGCGCATTATAGAAGCCCATTTGGAAGGCCCAGTGCGCAGTTGGCCCTCCATGCTGGCCAATAATCTGCATCAGGTCGCATAGGGTCTCCTTGGACACTACTAAGTACGACTACAATACAACAGGTAGGCAGGACACCTGCCGTAGCTGGATCACTCGACTGATGGAAACGGGTAGCTGCAAGATGCCTCTCCAGATGTGTCTCCTTGCAAACCCGAAATGCAGATACAAGGGAGCTCATGAATCCCTGAATCCGGTACCAAATCCATTTGCTGTGAGAGTGTGCAGCGTTCCTTGAAACTCCTTTTAGGATTCAATGGTTTCGAGAATGTTTGTGGGGGTTCCATCGCTCTGGGTTTCTTGCGCTTTGTCAAGAGGTGGTTTCCCTCTACTAATGTTTGCTCCTTTACTTGTCAGAATAAACTATTGCTCCTGGCGCGAAGTCCTATCGTTTCCCGGGAACTCCGAACGAAAATGCAAACCCACATAGCCCTTGTTTCAAAGGCCTGTAGCCAACGTAGGCTTTACAGCGCAGAGGGCCCCTTTGAGGGTTCTGTGTTGATCCCTTCCCATACGAAAAAGACCATCCTCCCCCCTCATAATATATCATGGTACTATATAAGGGGAGTATTCATTCTTAGTGGGGTGAGGGGGATAATCAGCGGATCAAGGGAGGTGATGGGTTTGTGAAATCTATCGACCCTTGCATCAACTTCCGGACCCCTCTAAGCTAAAAACCCTGCACTGTAAACCCTAAACCCGAAATACCAAGCCCTGCACCCAAAACCTGCACCCTGGGCCCTAAGCCCTGAACACTTCCTGGGCTTCCGGCATGCAGCGCCATAGAAGGCGTAGTTGCAAGCGCAGACTCCGCCTCCATCAGAAGTGGTTACAACCTAGAACTGGGGTCCCTCCATGCCACCCGCAGGGGAATCTTGGCCTGGATACAGGATAGGGGTTTCGGGATTGGGGTCGAGGGTCAAGCCACACATGCAACAAGAATTGAGTTACGCCAGCAAGTTGCCAAATATGCCGCTCATGCTGCCTATGCTTCGTGCCCCGCCAACACCGCCAAGCTATGAATACTATTCTTGCCGCTGCTAGAACTTGCTTTACTCCTCCCACTACTGGGGTTTGTACCTGGGACCCAAAACCTAGGGTTACAAGCATTAAGGGTACAAACTTCCGGTCTTTGATGCTATCTAGCTCCGAGCAACAGACTGATATATCTGCTCGTACCTGAAGCCACCCAGTGACAGCAATTCTTGAGGTTGAACCCAGCGGCGGTTGGATGAGTAAGTACGTGGATGTTCTCCTGACAGCCTTCTGCCGGCTGAGGTCTGAGTCTAGGATTCGGGAGTGAGTTTGTCATGACAAGGAAAGTGATGAGACAGGTCTGATCCTAAGGAATCCTGGCTCTATATGTATATATATATATATGCACATTATATAAATAAATATATATATATTTGCATATATATATATATACACATTCATTCAACAAATCATTTCAGGATGTCGACGTGGTCCAGATGGATGTTCAGGTTGAGGACTCCGTCGTTTTCGATACTGCCGTCTTACTACATGCCTAGGTGCGAATGCCGATGTGTTGCTCAAGAACATGACCCCCGCAGAATTGCTTAAGTTGCCGGCAGGAAATGCTTCAAGAGATTCAAGAGATCCTGCCATCTACCATCCGCTGCCTGAGCATCTCATTCATAAGCTTCTTACTTGCGAGCCTTAAAACCTGTTTGGGACTTGTGTGTATCCGCCGCCGCTCGCCTACGCAGGATCCGCGCGAATTGCAGTCGCTGGGGCAAGTCGCCTCAGCTTTTGAGGATGTCTGTCTTCGATCATTCGGGATTTGAAGTTCCACCAAAAAGAGAGACTTTGGGAGCTCTCTGAGGATGGAGGGTTTGGTTAGGTGGGTCCCTCGTGAGGACTCAAGGATCCGTCTCTTGCCTCAACAAGCACTAAGACTTGAACAGTTTCCAATCCTTTGGCTTTCTCACATGTCGCCCAAGCGCCCACATCTCAGCCCCTTCAAGTCCAGCTGAGGCATCGATTACAAAACTCTGTCTCCCTTACGTGACGCCCGCCTCGACCCTCAAAGAAGAACCACTCCATGGAACTGTTCCTCTCGCCAATGTACGACCGCAAAAGCCTTCCCGGATACTCCGGTCGCACCTGAAATCCATGGCCATGAAGGGCGGCTTGATCCTACTTCCATAGAAAAGCAATGTAGAAGATGGACCTCAATGCTCCAATGGAAGCCCTCCGCGCACATCTGGCAGAATCAGGAAAGGCAAGCGGGAGGACATCGCCATGTCAGATTGCTGCCTTGTATCTTCCAAGTGGCAATGTCACACGCCTGGCAGGCAGCACTAGTGAACCCATAATATTGGGATAATGGAAAAGAAAATGGAAACTGCTATAATATAACAGTACGTATATATATATATGTATATAGGGTATATGGGGTATATTGGGATCATATTGGGATACTGGAAAAGAAAATGAAACGCTTGAAGGCACAAGATTACAAGGCCGTGAGGTCTGCAGAAATTCGGGCCGATTTGCAGGACCCATTAAGGGCTTAGGGTTTAGGGGTTATGGGTTTAGGGCTTTTGGTTTTGGGGCTTAGGCTTTAGGTCACCCTAAGGGTCCAAGTACCTAATAAACATATACTTACCAAAAACCAATACTATAGTTATTATTACCCAAATCCCAAGTACCAAATTATTGGGTACATGGACCCTCCGGGTTACACTTTACAATGTCGACATTCTAGACACGGACCCGCAAGGGTGCGAGTAGAGCAAGGTTACACTAAATGTCAGTTCTACTCAAGGATAGATGATGACGCAGTCGTTTCAGACGAGCTCTTGGCTTACATGCTGGACGGAGCACTACTGAAGAGAGTTCAACAGTTGCCTGCTTTCAAAGATACATAGCCAGTTTTGCAAACCTGGGGTGTGCTTCAGATCAACCCCAGGTTTACTGATTGGTCATGTACCTGGAAGGTAGATGATCACGACCTGCGCTCTTTCAAGCCGCTTGCACTCAACTTGGTGTCATTCTCGTCGGGTGCGCCAACTCTTTTCAACTAGGATTCCTCACACTTCAAGTGCTCTATTCCGCACTAACTCCACCAGGAATTCTGTAGGTGTCTTGTCGTGACGATTTGTTGTAAGCACCTCGAAAGGGCACTTCATCTTCCCAGACAAGAAAGCAAGAACTGCTTAGCCAGTAGGCTCAGCGACGTCACGTTGCAAGCTTCTCCCAACTGAAGTTGGTATACTATTTACTTTTCATGCTACGAATCCACCTTGGACGTCGCAGTGTCAGATTACTCGTCTGGGTTCTGCCCAAGTCAGACGGCTGCAAAAATGTGACATCTTATCATCGGGCAACAAGACACAAGTGTGCCCATCGGGGCCAACATTCCACAATAGAACTAAAAGAAGTAGTGAATGGAATAGAATTAATAATGACAATAGTGAAACCTATACAAGCTGGGTTAGGCGTCTGATAAGACCGCGGGATGCGGGGTTTTCGGTCGTACATCGTCATGCGTTGTGCACATCCCATGCAAGAACTCTAAGGCCCGCCGCCCCCGCCCCCCCCCCCCTCCCCCCACAACAAAAAAACACACACACACACACACACACACAAAAAAACACCTTGATGAAAAGTGCCAACTCGCATTTCTTAGGGCCTGTAATGAGGGCTGATCTCAGGATTGCATCTTGAAACCTCTCTTCAACCTACTACTCTCTTAGTTGTCACAGCGCTCGTGGCTGAGTACACCAGCGGTGTGTTGCGAGGTGTTTGATAAGGGTTGTGATGGTTGTGATTTGGTAGTTTCCCGCAATAGGGGGAACCCCAATACAGACCCCTAAATACTATGATACTTGTTATAAGGACCCCCCAAAAGGTACCCTTGTTTTTTGGGAAGCCCCACTTGAAGGTGAGTGCCGCAACCTACGATGCTCCGGCATTTGTCATTCCAAAGAGTTCAGGGGGCTTTGGGGATGTAAGTTAAGCCCCTTAACACCCTAAACAACCGCAACCCCTAGATGATCTCATGTTTCATGTACTTTCCCCCTTGTGCCTTTTCCACTTGGCTTTCCAAAAAAAGTCTAAGCTCCTAATTAGTATATCCCTTAATAACCGGTATGTTACCCTCCTTAAGGAGTTTAGACATAGCTAATGTAAGCCCTTATGCAAGCTTGACCGGCCTCGCCAGTCCAGCCCGCGCCGCATGTGCATTTGCCATTGGAGCAGCTTCCTCGACCTTAGAAAACCACTATTCTTTCTATTCTCGCTACTATTATTACTACTAGGATTACTACACTAGCAAGCACCAATGCACCCGTCAGAAAGGGTGGGTCAAATCGATTTTTCTCCACGCCTTGTTGGGCTGTTGAATAATTACTCCAAGAAAATCGAGTCTCTTTGGAGCAGTCTGGACCGCCGAAATTTGAAACAAGCCGACTCTACCTGTCACAAGGACATAGTGTATCGTAATGCATATTGGCTACATGTACCTGGAGAGGTCAAAGCATTAGCACCATATTTTGCGGGAATCATTGGTGCAAGTCGAAACTGAGATCAAACAACAAGCAGTACCAGTAGTGAGAGCAGTAGATCATGACACTATGGAACTATGTAGAGATATAGAAAGCCTCTCGTGCTGTCATCTGTCAGCCTTGTTGCCAACAAGCCACCATTGCAGTTGTCCAAGCACGAGCCTGCTTGCGTGAAACAATGATTGCAGAGCCAGGGGCCAGGGCTGCATAATAATCATAATCATAATAAACATAATATCAATATCATTCTCATAAATCATGTACTCTTGCGATGTTTGATTATAATGTTCTTCTTAATGAGATTACTATTATGATGGTTCATAATGTTTTTAAGGATAGTACTTCATGATGATTATGTTAAGATGAGATACATGAGCGCAGACTTGTTGATGGGATTCACCGAGGCCTTCCTTGACCCAATCCCTTCAGAGCAAGGGCAAGAAGGATGTGTTTTTATATATGGGGGTTTCCCAAAACAAGGGGTACCCTAGTGGGGATCCCCATAGTAAGGATTATACTATATTGGGGTTACTTGCAGTGAGCATGTGATCGGTTTAGGCTCAGCCCAGCAAGGCTGGGATTGAAAGCTTTGCAGGCAAGGATCTTCAAGAATGGAAACTACCATATTATTATAGGGATCATATAGGGGTTATACAAGGATAATGGAAAAGAACACGGAAACTATTTAAGGAAGCCTGATTGTCATGGCCTGAAACAGATAGCTTGTTTGTTGTCTTATGGACTTCGCTGCTACTATGGGAAATGATGCCACTATCTGGCTGTGGCTATCACAAGCCATATGCCTCTCTCACGAGCTGCGCTGCTACCATACCCATAGCCATTTGTGTCATTGCTGCCGTGGTGTCTCACCCTCAAGTTTCTGAGTCATCTTCTGTAAGCGCCTGTGAAAAGCCCACAGACCCTAGGAGCTCAGTAATGCGGGCAGAGCTGTGTGAACCCCTGACTAGGAGATGGGTCTGGGCTTGCTTGCGGACATGGGGACCTAAATCGATTGAAGACTGGATAGGGCCTCCAGCAAGATATGATATCAGCAAGCCTGCAGCGCTCTGACTGCGGCCATACCAGGCAACTGCCCCAAATGATCACTTGGAGTCTGCAGACTTATAAGCACATCCTGGCGGCCTGTGTCATTGTTAGTGCTACGAGCCCCGTAGTCATGTTAGGATTCAGCTAATCCAGACCCCGCACTCCCACCCCAGACACGTCAATGCCTGGTTTTGCCCTCAGGGGCGCTTCCAGCTTCGACGCGTTTGGGCCTCGATTGATTCGGTACGCTACCTTTAAAGGATTTGACCTAGGTCTCTACAGATTTTGTGTACCATCCACAGCAGTAGGTACCTGGTAACCAAAACTAGCCATGCGGTGGAGCTGCCTAGTAAGCATTGTTGCAACCCTTGAGTTCGTCTGGGTAACCAAACAACCCATAATATATACATATATACATATACATATATATGAAACTACTATAGTATATTGGGGTTATATTGGGATAATGGAAAATCAAATGGAAACTACTATAATGGGTTATATTATATAGTATGCCCAAATGGCGGGAGGCCAAGGAACAGCAACTAATAGCTGGTAGGCTGTCAAAATCGTGGTGCCTTTTTGGGTGCCTACAAAACCATGGCCCCGTACATTCAAGGTACCACTGTGACTCCAATGATGACAATTACCAGTTACCTTGCATCCGGAAATTCTAGGAAAGCCCCTGTCGAAACAGCGGCATGGTTTACTTCATGTACCAGACCAAGACATACTTTAACAAAAGAGATACCCGTCGCCATCATCATGGCCCTACTATCTTACAGTGCAAGTGAAAAAGCTGAAGCCAACAATCTCCCAGGAGAGCTTCGGCCGAGGGACCTGAAGTGGTCGTATGGGGAAGCAGGCCAAGCGTAGTGCTGGCAGGTTTCAGGTAACGGCCAATCTTGTCCATGATGCCTGTCCACAAATGAAATTGTGTGCTGCAAAAGGCTACTTTGAACTCATGAACTTTCTCTATGATCGAACCGGCGCAACAGGTTGGATGTTCGGGAGCCTCAGCGTGTAGCTCAGAAGCTTTTAGCTTTTCCAAACAGCGATGTCTTGAGCAGCCAACATGCCAAGAAGGCATACTAAGCAATGTAGTAATAATATCCATATTCATACTAATAGTAATACTAATAATAGATCTATGTACACAACGCAAAGATGCACAAAGGAAGAACACCAGAGCAGGAGATGTCCCAACGGTCCCAGATTCTGGGATCGTCTGAGCAAGTCTACGAACTAAAGTCAAGCTCAAATCGAGCTTCAACATGGCCGACGCGTGCAACCGTGTACGCCAAAGAATACTTTGCTTCGGATACCAAGTAGGATCCCGCAATGCAAAACAGGGAGGCCCGCAAGAAAGGAACTACGGGGTGTACAAACTCATGCTTGACTAACAGGCTGCCCTTGCAACACGAGACACCCTGAAAGATGATGTATAGCAACGGAACATGTTTGGCAGATAATGATAAAAGTAATAATAATATTAATAATAGTAATCGTAATAGTAATAATAGTAGATGCACCTACATCCAGCTTTGAACCTTCAACCAGGAAACCAAAGCCTTTGGCATCTCGGAGCGGTGAATCTTTCAGGATGGCTTCATTGGCGGCGGCCGCGCGCTTAGCCTCCTTCAGAGTACCCAAGGATCAGACTTAGAATCATATTCAGGATCGGTGAGGACGTAGCCCATTATCCCAGACTCCTGACTCATAAGCCCTCTCCCCTCAATAGATATTATAATCGCATCCTAAATTAAGGACCCTGAAAGGAAGGGGTTTATTAATCGTGGGTCTACATTATCCTGAATGATACACATATCCTCAACATATCTCAACATAATATCTTGTTTAAAAGGGGTCCCGTGACTCACGAACCTGGCCAAAAGGCTTTCAGACGGTGGGGTCGCTAACTTCTAGATTCCCTGATTGTAAGTTCTGGGTTAAGAGGGCCTCAGGATGCCCTGCTTGGGATAGAACATGGTCTTCAGCAACACATATTGCAGAGTATTGCTTTTTTGTAGACAGATACCACTTACTAAAGCCACCGTCACCCTGCCCCTCCCGACCAAGTCTTCAAGGAACTACACTCACGAAATATGGGAATCTGAAGACGGGCCCAATGGGCAGCTGGCCCATAAACAGGGTGCACGTAAATTTCAACCTTTGCTTGAAGAGCCTGCCCTAAAATATTGCAGTCACTGGAGGTGGGTGCGCCTCAGCTTCATGGAGAGATGCAGCTGTCAACAGCGCATTGTGGGAGGCCTTGGCTGATCTTCACACACGTGCAGACTGCGAAAACAGCAGCCCACAAAGACTCTGTTCCAAAGGGTGCTACATGAGATTGCATGCTTGCTTGGGGGTGGCTCCAGTTCAGGCCTAATGGAAAACGTCTTGTACTAATAGTAATGATCATAGCAATAATAGTAATAAGAATATCCATCAATATCATTTTGGATGAGATCAGCTCCAGGGGCTTCTTTGTATCTGGTTCCTGGCTACGCAACCCATCACATGCCGCTAATTCTGAGAAGGAATCCTCGACCCTGCCCAAAAGCACTGTAGCCCCAAATTTCCTGAAGCCATCACCACTTGGCCTATACCTTTAACCCTACAACTCTGAAACCCTCCGATCCCATGAAGCTCAAGACAAGAGAGCAGTTTGAAGTATCTTGAGGACGCGGTATTCGGCCTTTATGAAACGAGGGTGGAGGCAGCTACCTAAGTGTGTCAAACATCTTCATATGGCAGCTTTTGAGGAATCATTGCCTCCTACGATAATCTCCTCAAATCTGGCCAATGGTCTACATGTTTGGCGTTCCCGCACGGATACCCTATTTACACTTTCCCATTAGGCCTATATATACACTCACCAAAACTACACCAAAAAAAAGCCTTACGTCTGCCACTAAACATGGAGTCCTAAACCTTATACCATGAATGTTAAATCCTAAACTTTAAGCCCTAAACCTCTAACCCTAAACCTTAAATCCTGAACCCCGAACCCTGAACCTTAAACCCTAAGCTTGTGAATGGAAACCTTGTCCCTCGGGCCTGTAGGGCCTCTTTCAGCAGCTTAGGACTCGAAGCCTCCGCTTGCAGAGGGGCAGGTACCTGGTCGCATCTTATCTTTATGGTAGGGCTCCAAGACGCAACGAGCCCTTTGCAGCTACCATTTTTGATAGGCGTAGAGTATGGGATTTGGAGTTAAGGGCTTGGGATTTCAGGATTTTGGGTGTAGGATTCTAGGGTTCATGGATGCGGGGTATAGAGTTGAGGGCTTAGGCTTCGGGAGCTTTGGGCCTACTCCGTGGAAGCTTGAAAGCTGGAACATTACCCTCCCCCAAGCCCAAGGCCTGGAAAAAGGGACGAGTATCATAAATGATCCCATTTCCATGTTCCAACCTCCTGCTTCACTCTACAAGAAAATGCAGAGATGTTCAGTGATGATCTAGAACTTTTGACATGACATGTGTCAAGATTGTTTAGCTAGAGCAAACATAAGCAGAGTTTGGGTGGCACGGCCGGAGCTGCAGATACCGTCTTCCCTTGAACTTAGTGGCAGGTGTGCTCCATCATAAGCCCTAAATTCTTAATCCCGTGCTGGATCCACTGTGTCAAGGGGACGCCAAGACCCTCCCAGCTCAGCCCTTGTCATGGCTGCCTAGTGCAAGGACCACACACATGCAGACCGGAGCACAAAAGCGAATGCCCCCAACACTTCATCCGGCAATAGCAGTCGTACTGTAATCGTGACGAAGCTCCATGCCTTACTATACAAGGATGTCAGGAAGAGTGCAAGCAATGATGATGAAAATACTGCTGACGGTAACTCCGGGGCGACAGCCTCATTGGTCTGATGCGCTCTTCGTGCCTGCGATCCGCAACTAGACAGATTCTGACTCGAGCAGGACACATAATTTTGGATTGAAAGAAAGTTAAAGCGAAACGATCCAATAGTCTCTTGGTACCTTCAGCTACCAATAGTCTTTTGGTACTACCAGCTACAATCCAAACAGGAGCTCGCTCTGCTGTGTCAGTTACTATAGAACTAGGCGTTGATAAGTGATGCCTGCAAGTTACATTCGGGATTGCTCTTAGATTCGAGAATCTAGTATAATTGTGGAGTCTTCGTTCCGGAAAGCAGAGTTGCGTTCCTAGTACCCCTTGCGAAGTGTCATTCTCGATGCTTTCCTTCAAGAATGCAGACGGAGTTTGATAACAGCGAACGTAAGCAGAAAGCCGACAATCCGCAGAATCAAGGAAAGCTGCAAACACTTGTCCAGGTCATGGTCACAGTTGTGGTCCAGTATTCCCATATGGCCCCGGTTTTGCCTGCTGAACTGTAAGTAAGATGTGGGCCCGCATTCATCTTTCAGCATCAAGACCGCAACACTCCATAAAGAGTCTTTCGACTGCGCTTCATGACTGCGGAAGCAACCTGCTGGAGCCACCAGCTCTAGCTGCCCCTTCACTTGGATTTTCTCCGTTGCTGCTCTCAACATGGGGCAAGAAACCGATGCAACAACCCGTTTCAACATAATTATTACAACAGGTTTCCGAGCAGAGGGATCCCTGCAAGCCTTAGTACTATGCTACTTGATAGACATCTTCCTGTGTGAGCTTCTCTCCGGCTGCCTTTACCGCTGCTGCGATGCGCTTGGCACGCTCTGCAGCCATATCCTGCCGTTTAGCAATGGCTTGCAAAGTGGGATTCACAAATTTGACGAGCTTCTGGTGAGATGTATGGGTTTAGGCTGGGTCAAAACTTGAGCCTAGGATCGAGGGCTGAAACGAGGATGAATCTAACTGCACCTGGGGTAGGGTGGGCTTTGGTGTATTTCCGCTGACTTTACCCAGGTCCCCCGTTGGGGCCATCTGGGTACCTAGACGGCAGGCCTCCGCGTAGACCATGACCCGATCCAAGGACGCGTCTGCGGGTGTGCGCTGTGCGGCCTTGCTCATGGCTTCGTCTTTGAGATTAACGGCTTGGTGCGGAGGCTTGGGTGCTTCAATTAGGCGGAAATACCTGCGAAACTGCTGGGGGCTATACCCTCACATATTGGTATTTTCTGGTGCCTTTCCATATGCCATAGTTTGGCCGCTCATCATAAAGCCGCTCGGGAAAGAGGGTCATGGAACTTCCATGCTCCTGCTTTTCTCGATGCCTTTTGCCTGCCTAGAGGTACAGTCTTTTGCCCAAAGGCTAGAATTAACCTTACAGCACGCATGGACCACAGCACCCGAGCCCACCCTTACAAGTTCGCATTTCAGACAGTGATTGCTAGCCTTCCGACGTCTTCTGAACTTCTTGAGCAAAGCGCCTTGCCTGACAATCATGGAACCTGAGTTACCTAAGTCACTGGTGATTGTGGAACCATCTATGAATCTTCATCCCGTATCCAAGTGTGGAAGACCGGCCTAATGCCAGGAAATCAACTTCCCAAACCGGGCGCACAGAGACCTCAAGCAGAATTCCTATTTGAAGATGTGCGACTGCACAGTGCCTCGGAACAGCTCAGCTGGAAACACCCTACAGCAGAAGTTGAACATGTTTGTTGGAAATCTCAGGGGTCCGAACCTGCAGATATTCTTCAGAACCTAGAACCTTGCAAAGTGCACCCCATGTGCAGAAATTCTGCAGGTGCTAGGTGAGATCTGCATGCTTATAACTTAGGGATCTCTGAAGAAGGAGCCAACGCTTTTGAGACGGTCATGCGCATCCCTAGCCCTGGGCGCATGCTGACATCATGAAGTCATGATCGAGCTGCTTAACATAAAGAGTGTGCGTACTCATAGTACCAGCAGCGATACTGGTAGCAGCAAACGTAGAAGCAGGCAGTAGCATCAGTCAGCCCCTTAGCAAGTTCAGTGTCCGCACAAAGTATCCCATTCAGCCCTTGAGAG